AAGCAAACGTGCTCCAGGAACAGACTCCTAGGGACGGGAGTAATCCAAGTAAGAGAGCATGCATATTGTTTGCAAAAATGAATAATGAAATTCAAAGTTTTATTCGTTATGTTCCAGGCAATATTACCATTATTATTTATCTTAAATGTGAAAAGCAAAGGGAATGGAAGAAATATGTAATTCTATGGTGTCCTCATGGAAAATGCCACTGATAGATGGGGCCAGGTTACTCTGAATCTAACATGACTGCACACAGAGGGTGTCTGTGGAATTTCGTGGACTACCCCAAGCAGACATAATAGCCTGGGTTTTGCACACCATTTAGGCCTGTCATGGACACTGGCCAGCAACCACAGAAGGTCTCTGCTCCTGTTAGAGGGGATTCCAGAGAAGATGTGATTTGTGGGGCTCTCATCTTCTAAGCAGCAAGTACTAGCATTAGAGAGGTCTCTCTTGGGAACTGCTGGATTCTCCTTGTCCTGGAAAAGATCCGTCCCTTAAGTTATAAGAGAAACAATGAAAATTAATTGCAAACATCATGGTTTGCATTTAGGTAAATTGATGGTTTTGAATGGCAAATGTGAAACAGGGTTTTAGAGACAGAGTTTGAGAACCCTGATGGTTATCTGGGCATCGGTGGCCCCGGCACCAAAGCCTGACCACTCCTGATAAGGGCCATGACTATATCCATTTCACAAAGCCCCCTAAAAGGAAACCTTTGGTCCCCTTCCTGGAACTGCCTGACGTTCAAAGAACAGGCTCTGCCTTGAGCCATTACTGTGACACTGCTGCCAACCCCACTGAGTAGATTCTGTCAGGGCTGCCTAGATTCCTTCACCTTTGGACATAGCCCTCCCTACTATAGTGCATGATTGCCCAACCATGGCTTTAGAATCGCTTTGACTAAGCAGGAGCCCCCATAATGCTCTCCCACTACCTCCAGAGGTACAAAAATGAGCAGAATCTGTCTCAAGATGAATGGTGATTAGGCGTCTAATTTGAGCCCCAGTGCTTCCCATGAGCTTTACCTGAAGCTAGTTCCAGAGAAGGACATATCCTTACCCTGACCTTTTCCCCTGTCCTCCCCGAGTTCCCTTATTTCTTTTCCTAAAGAGTTGTCCTACAAAGAATCCTTTGATAAGCATTCCCATCTCAGGTTCTGCCTCTAGAACAGGTCTGTGGAATTGCTCTTTTGTCCCAGGCTAGACAAAGCTGTTCTGGACCTCCAGCCTAGGCAAAACCCAGGATGCTCCAGCCCCACTCAGGTCACCTACATTCTAGAAGCAGAGAATTATTCTCTGTCCTGGCCAAAGACACTGCTGAGAAACACAGAAGAGACTCACTTTCCTTTTATCCCTCTAGGTCTGTTCTCTTTGGATGAATGAAGCCTGCTCTTGTGTTTACCTTTGAAATTCAGAAGGTTTAACCTGATTGGGCTACTGCAACTCCCCACATGGCTGGAGTCAGAGAGAGTCTGTAAGGAAGAGCAGAGACCTCAAGTCTCCATGGGTCCTAAGTCAAGGCCATCTGCATCCTGTGTACCCATCTGACTCTGTGTTGACATCTCCTTGAAGGGGTCCTCGGCACAGCTGCAAGAAGGGTGGTAAATCACTGTTTCTCAGGGCCTTCTTCTCTCAACCAGATGATAAAAGCAGACTTGGACAGAAAATGAGAGAGAGAGAACCTGGTCATCATCAGACAATTTCAGAGGCACAGGAAATAACTCCTTTTGCCCACCCCACCCCCAAGTTCAGGAGGAAGATTAAGAAAGACCATCTTTGATAACCATTAAAAACAAGTTCCTCTCCCCAGATTTTCTGCTTACCCTCATCCCTGTACAAATTGTAGACCTTCCCTAACCAAGAGGCTATGAAGACACTGCAGGATGCCCCAGTTCCCCACTCAGAAAGCAATGAGCCATCTCCAAGGGTCTGAACATGAAAGGTTAAGGGCTGAGCCCAGCCTCTACTCAGATTCTTCATCCAACTTCTTCACCAAAATTTACCATTGAAAGAAATCCCTACTGTTCTGCTGGGAAGGAGTGGGGAAGAGTAAGAAAGCATCACCTGCCTCAGTAGTGAGTCTCTCCAGTCCTGGCTAAATTCCCCGCAGCAGGGGACATTTTTAAAAATGTGGGTATGACCAGCATGCAGTGGGCAGGAGCATGAACAAGCATCCCACCATGTAAGCAACAGTATATATGACACGGGACAGAGCCTACTGCATGCCAGTACCATCCCACTGAGAAGCAGAAGTGCCTGTACATGGAACATAAGCGAGGGACGTGGAGCCCCTGTCCTCACCTATACATCACAAGGCACAGCACTGTTAGCAGAGATCACTGGGGGAAGCCAGGTCAGTTTCACGACTTTTGAAAGCCCAGGAAATATAGACCTGTGCAGAGTGAACCCCTGTTTATGGACCAACAGCATCGAGAGGAGGGCCTCTACTCAAGGGAGAGTCACACATCCACCCCTTTGGCCCTTCCCTGCTTTCGCAAAAGTCTCCCCTCAACACTGCCCGTTAGAGGAACAGGTGCCATAAGCAAAGCTTCCCAGAACCATCTAACTGCACACATGATGTGTCTGGCCCATGAACTGGGTTATAAACCTGTCTGCAAGGAGTCTCGAGTGCAAAATTGATGAGTGTGATCAGCACACTGCTTAAATAAACATGCTTATTACCAAGGCTCCAAGAGGTGCAGTGACACACAGAGCACACGCCTCATGCTCATCTTCGCTTTCTAATCTATCTGCTTTCATTTCATGCTACATGAAATATGAATGGGACACTACTGCTACTTTGACGAATTTTCTCTTTCAGCATTTGTCCCCCACTTTCTGCTTCACTGGGAACAACATCAGTGTTCTTAGAAGCACCAGCTTCGTCCAATTCATTCCCACCAGGCCAGGTCAGCCAGAAGGCAAATCCACCACCTGCATCTTGGAAGGAATGGGGCTCCCACCCCTCTTGTATACCTGGAATAGTACTGTGCAGAGTCAGCAAGCTGGCCCAGCGGAGCAAGACCAATCAGTGTCTCCCAGGATTCTAGTGACTGAATGAGACACTGGCAAATGAGTGTTCTTAGATAAACAAAATCACAGAATCTGCTGGCTTCAGATATTTTATTCACATAACAAGTTTAGAAAGACTTCCTAAATGGTCTCCTATATTGGACCTTGTGTTTTATAATGGATCTTTTTCATACTATCAAGCAATAGTCTTACACTGAAAATGTTGGCTAAACATCTCAAGATCATTTGTGAATCAACAAAGATTGTGTAACTATTTGCATACAAAGGGGTAATGATAACCATAGTGACCACTAACTACCACTGGAGATTCAGAACAAGCCCTGTAGTGTTCTCAGCTCTCCTGGGACACTGACTCATTCAGTCCTCCTTGGAAGTCCTAGGACCTTTCTGCAAAGTAGGAAGTCAAGGCACCTAAACAGATCTACAGCACAGTCAACAGTAGCAGAATGATCAAGCCTCACAGAACAGCTCTGGAGCCTGGCCTTTTACTTATGACATTATGCTGCCCTCACACTTAAGTCCATCTGGATATTAGCATACGTAAGCTTAGTATATGAACAGAATCAGAGAACACTGGAGACTTTGCTCATAGCACTGATCAAATTCAGGGCTTCACACATACTCTGCAAATGTCCTACCACTAAGCTGCACCCCATACCAGGTTGGGGCATTTCCAATAATACTATTCTGAATGTCCCTGTCACAAATGCCTGTGTAAGTAAGCATCAACCCAGAAAAGTACAGTGGGGCCTGGGAATTGCAGGTAGTTGTTTTTTAGGCATTGCGTTTTAAATAACAACAAAATAGTCTGCAGATTGAAATCTGTTAGCCAGGTGCCAGGGCAGAAACTCAGATTATAGTAAAAAACTTGACAGACTGAAACTGAAGCTCAGAGAGGAAAAGCGTCTGTACAAGGTCACGCAGACAGTAACAAAGGCAGAAATAGAATTCTGGGCTTGAAGTCAAGCATCACTTTGCCTATTCCACACCAAAATTCCATTCCACCCCCACTTCCCTACCCCTTTCTCTCCCCCCAGTTCCCATTGCTCTTATGCATAAGCAGTAAGGCTTCTGTTCTATTTGCAAAGTAAATAGAGCTGAGATACAGATTACTCTCAAGCATTGAAGCTTTTATCCAATATAAACAGAATCAGGGTAACTTGTTCCTTTCACCCCTCACTCACACACACAGGCTCAATGCCAGCTCTAGCATAATTAGCAGAAGGCAAACAGAACTTGGGTGTCCTGGCCAATTGGGGGCCACTGTGCTCCTCCAGCACAAGTAGGGAGATGCTCTAACTGTCCTTCTTTCCTTTGTCCCCCACTGGCCCTCCTGCCCATTATGCATGATGTGGAAACTGGAGTTCTCTCATAACCTCCCAGTTATTATTTGTAGTAACATGAGGATTAATATTACAAGTTAATATAAAGATCTGAAATATGGTGCCTTACTAGAAGCCCTATTTGCTGGCTCTGAGATTCCCCAAACTAATCCAAGAGAAGGTATATATGAATTTGCACAAGCACACACATACATACATGCATACACATATACATAATACACACATGCATGCACACACATGCACATATTTACACATGCATGCACACACTTACACCTCTTATAAGTTCATATCTATGAAAAATAATACACATACTCAGGAAGTTACATTTTAATAATAGCAGAGACTCTGTTATTCAGAAGACTGATTTTCTTAAAGAACAAACATACCCCTGGGAATGATGGTAGGGGTTCTAACAAGTTCAGTAAAATACTGCCAGTTCATCTTCTAAATGTGAGTTGATTTGATCCCTGGTAACAACAGAAAGTGATTTAGAACTCTGGAGAATGAGGTCAGAAGGTGGGCCCCAGGACTGTGGTTTTGGATTTGGGGAGCAGGGTGGAGAAGTAAATGGGTCAAGATTTTGCATCAAAATATCAAACTAACTCTCTCCTCGGACCCTTACCTTGGCTTTAGAAAAATGGAGAACTTCTTTAGCCACAGTTTCCTCATCTTTAAAGTGAAAATGCCAACAATCTCTTCAACAGATTCTTATGAAGATCAAACATATATATACAAAAGAGTTCTTGTGGCCAGAGGTTCTCAATGTCAATTTAAAAAGGTGTTTTCTGTAAAGAAATGAAGTGATTAATAAGAGCAGGCATCTCCTGTAAAGGACCTTAAAAGTCATTGATCAGTGCAGAAGAAGAGCATGACCATGGAGCTCCCACATTCCTGTCTACACATTCATTCACTCCTTCATTCATGCAATAAATGTTCTCTGAGTGCACAGAAGCTAAATTCTATTTCACTCAATATCAATCAGTACACAGTATAACCCCGTTCCGCTCTGTTTATAACAGCTCACGATTAGACACCTACTGTCTGCTTCTCATTCATCTCATTACTTTGTAGTTAGATCTGCTATCAGCAAATGACAGTGGGGTCAGTCAGGTGGGGTGGGACATGCCTATGATCTCAACAGCTGGGAGGTAGAGGCAGAAGGATCAAGAATTCAAGGCCCTTTGACTACATAATGAGCTTGAAGCAAGCCTAGGCTGCATGAGACCCTGTCTCAGAGAAAAAGAGGGAGCAGCAGGAGGAGGAGGAAGAGAAGAGGAGGAAGAGGAGGAGAAAGCTAAGAGCCTTCCAAGTATCTAAAATTCTTCGAAAAAGTGAGAGTTATTCTAACAAGGAGAAGGTGGGACTGAGCTGGGAGTGTCCAATAGCTCAGCAGCCCCTACCCCTGGGCAAGAGACACTGACCTGCCTTTCTCCATGTGCTTCCAGGTGGGAGTGGACGACTGCCATTGAGGAGCAGCTCCACTCCACATGGGTTTGCAATCGCCTGGTACCTAACTGATTTCCTGCCAGATATTTTGACATCAAAGGTAGGAACTTCCCATAGGCTAGAGCGTGTGCGGCAGACTAATAGGATCTCAGTATATATCAGTGTCTTTGTCTATAAAATAAAAGGTTTGAGCTAAGTGACCAGCAAGAGTCACCTTAGCTCCAAGACTCTGTGACCGTCTTACAGGGTTGGGGAGCAGCACAGTTGCCTGAAGGAGTTAATTCATCTCACAGAATACCCACAAGTGATGTATGGAGCATAGGGAGCACTGCCCCACCCCCTCCCCATGAAGACAAAGCCACCCGTCATTTGCCTTTAATCTGTTTTCTTAATTTTCTTCCTAAGGAAAGTCACAGCTCCAATCAGCCCTCTAATCAATGGCTCACTACTGCCGCACAAATGAGCCAGATTTATTAAAGGAGTCCTCTCTCGGATGGAAATGGGCTCCCCGCTGGGGCTGCAAATACAGGCGAAGATTGACTGCTCCCAGAATAGGTAAAGATGGAAGGGAAAGGACAGCAGGCAAGTAACAGGGGAGAGGGCACAAGGACTCATACCATACCCCACACCACGTCCGTGAATAGATGGCCACCAGACAGCCTGAACCTCTCCCCACACCATGTCCGTGAATAGATGGCCACCAGAAGGCCCGAACCACTCATTCAGCCTGACCCTGAACACAGTGGCCAGCAGCAACTAGCCAGCAAACACCCTCTTTCACCTTCTTATGCACCCTAAGGAAAGAAGGTCACCCAAAATCACACTAATGGAGATTTGCAAGTGGACAGCCTCCCAGAGCCAAGCATTCATAGCCTGTCCAAGCTAGAGAGACTCCTTAAGGATGAAATACAGCTAAGAGGGATGGCACAGACCTTGAAAGGACCCCGGTATTTCTGACTGATAGCCAGAAGCACAGGAAATTAATATTTCAAGGCTGTAAGGACTTAGTCATACTGGTTAAAATGAAATATTTACATATTCATAGTTGGGGGCTGGGAGACCCTTGGTCATGGAGTGGACGCTGCATAAAGCATTCAGAAGAGGCCAATGGAGATACTCAGACAAGGACAGCACACCTTACTCTATGAAAGTGTCACCTCTCTTCATCGTAGGCATAGTTATGTTTCTGGAAATCACAGCTACATTTCCTGGGGAGAAGGTTGGGGGGAGTGATTCTCATTTGTTTCCTTGAAAATTCAGAGAAGTCTGAACAGCCTAAATGTCAGTATAAAATAAACAAAGGCATTCATGTTGTAAGCAGGAATATGTAAAGTGATGGGAAGGGAGGAAGAGAAGGAGGATCAGAAGGAGGAGAAAGAGAGAGAATAAAGAGAGAGAAATTAAGTCACCTTGTATCCTGTTTAAATCTTCTATTTTAAGTTGTAATTCCCTTCTGTTACCTTCACACCTTAGTGGGGTTTTTTATTTTTGTTTGGGTTGCGGGGAGGTTTTTTTTGTTTTGTTTTGTTTTTTTTTTTTGGACTTTTTGAGTTAGGGTCTCCTTGTAGCCCAAGCTGGCCTGGAACTCACTATGTAGACCAGGCTGGACATGAACTCATAGAGATCCACCTACCTCTGCCTCCCAAGTGCTGGGACTAAAGACATGCACCACTACGCCTGGCCCACACCTTAGTTTTAATCACCATGTTAGCCAGAGAAAGGACTAGTCTTAGAAACAAACCAGTTCCATGGTGGTAAGGCAGTCCAATCATATGAGTACAATAGGACAGAGATAAAGTCAACCATACAGAATGGTTCTCTGCACTAGATAAGCCCAGAGACAGCCTACCATGCAGACACACACATACAGAGAGAGAGAGAGAGAGAGAGAGAGAGAGAGAGCCTCTTATGTATATATACATACAATAATCATGCTCAGAGATACCACATCATGTGCATGCACCCACATACAAGTTTGGAAAAGAGGACCATCAGGAAGGATTCTTTTATACAGCCAGGTGGACTAGGGGCTTATGCTGATTTGGAGCAATAAAGGAAAGGTTAACTTAGCTAGGTGATGACATAGCTGGAAAATCCAGAGAATGGCTTTGAGACCTTTAACCTTGAGCTCTTTCTAATCCTAGAATTGACATCACAGGTCTCCACCTTACAAAGCCCAGCCAAGCTTTAGGGCCCTGTGCACATTATCTAGAGAGAGGGGATAGAAGACACGCAGAAGTGGAGGAGAGGGAGAAAACATCAAGCAGTACTTAGGAGAAAGGTGCTTTCTAGTCTTTCTTGTTTCTTGGCCTGGTTCACAGTCTTTTGAGGCATAGCCTGTTGGAGTTGGAAGGCACCCCTTAAGATATGTTCACCCCCTCAATTTACAGATGAGAGAAACTGTCCAGACAGTGGAAGTAATTTGAATGAAATTTCTAGCACCTAACCATCAAGGTACGTTTGGAGTCAGGGAAAAAAACAGCCAGGTCAAGAAGTAGAAGGAGGTGAGGAATGGAACCACCCAGGGAAATCCATCTTCGACCTCCTAGGTCTGAGTGCTGGGCTAACCCTGCTTCTCTTCCCATCCTGCTTCTCTTCAGGGATCCCTATGCCGATTCTCCGTTTCTTTAAATCTCTCAGATCCTGGGAATATCTCCCCAGTCTCTAATCCATTCTGTCTCATACTGTCCCGTACCCCTAAACTTACCCAGAACTGTCAGACAAGGTATGGCAAGGTGTGTGCTTCTCTTCAATAGAATGCATGGTTGGGTTGGGAATGGCATTTCATTCTTGGTGATTAATCTTTGAGAAAACCACAGAACTTCTCATGGGGAAAATCCTTATATGGTAGAAAAATTTAAAGGTTGGAAAATTAAACTTTGTGTTCTGATTTGAAAAATGACCAGGGGAGGAGTCAATAGCACTTGCCGTTCTTCCTTTTTGTGTGAGGTATGTCATGCTGTGAATGAGATTTAGCAACTGCATTGAACTGCTACAATCAGCTCAGAGTACTCTCATACCATGGTTCCTTCTCTTTCCATGGTATCTCCTCTCCCTCATCTCACATGCACCCTTACCACAGCCTTGCTATGCACTCATTCGGAGGCAGAAGTTTGCCAGGGCTTGTGCAGGGTGGTTGCTTTCTCCTGCTGTCACAGCTGAATTTGAGGCATGGGGAGCTGGGGTTTTGCACGCATCTGCGTCCTAAGGTTTGTCTTCTGGGATGGAGACAGGCAGGCCCTGGTCACAACTGGAAAATATTTCTCAGGAAGGGAAGAATGGGATCAGTCTGTCAGCAAGCAACTCATTCTCTCCAACATCTCCTTCTCCAAATTGCTAACTTCCCTCTTTATGTCTCGGCACCATTCAAACTTTACTCATCTTATAAAATGCTACCCTGGGGTCCTATGTTAACTATAGGAGAAATGAAACCACTTTCAGAAAGCTGGATTTTTGCTTCCTTATGCCATTTCAAGCACTCTGAGAAGGGAGGCAGGGAGGAGATGGCCACTTGGACTCTCCTTCCTCAACCTGACAGATGTGAAGAGAAACTTCAGAGGAGCGAGTGGTGTTGCTGCCTAGAGGATCAGCTTGGGGGATGTGAGAAGAGAGTGTAGAGAGCAGTATGCTCCCTCCTAGAGAACCCATTACAAACCAACCTTTTGCTTGGTGAGCACAGCTATTTAACCTTTTCCATTTGATAAAGAGGGTTCAGGTTTACTTTTTACCAAGGCAGGGCATGGCTTCACAGCCCTACAGCGAGGGAATACATCCAGCATTCCCTTCCATTCCAGCCGATCTAGGTTGCCTCCCTGACCCCACTCTCTGACCTTCATTCTTGAAAGTCATTTGCTTTCAAGGTGAACAAGCCCTTGTCTGGAAAACAATATACATGGCGCAGTGACTAGAGGGATCTGGAATAGCTGTGCAGGGGACAGGAAGTACTTCTAGATGAATTATTGATCAACATTTCACACATACACACACATGTATTTGGGGTGCTGGTTCTCCCCACAGGGACAGACTGCGTCTTGGTCTTCCCAGAGTTAAGGGTCTTCTGTGCTGTAACCCCTAGTTTTTGGTGAATGGAAACATAATTACATCTCTTTGTGTGACTGTTTGGTTTTCCAAGAAACCCTAAGTCAGCAGATTTCAGAAGAAAACTGAAACAGTAAACTGTTAGAAAAGTGACGTGTGTCTCAGGAAAAAGAAATGAATTGGTTAGGAAAAAAGAAATACTTTTCATTTAGCAAATTTTGTCTCAGCTGCTAAACAGGTTGTGAACATTAGTGGGTATCATGTATCGCTTATCTCCTTACTAAACCAAGTGGACGCATTAGCTTTGATTTCTGTTAGAAGTGGGAAAACGAGGGCTGAAAGGGTCGCCAACAGGAAGTCAAGGTCACCCCACCACTTCGTGGACCCCTCCTCTGCATTCATCTCTTGAGAACTCCCCGGATGAACTCTCCTGTGCAGGTCACTGGAAGCTGACCAGAGTGCTAGTTTCCCACGGTTGTGGAGCGGACAACCACAAACATGTAAGTAAGCTTCAACCCACACTTACTGTCTCATGGTTTCTGTGACTGGGGAGTCTATCAGGACTTTCTGAATCTTCTACTTGGGGCATTACAAGCTTTTGCTCAAGCTCTCCCCAGAGCTGGGTCCATCCTACAACACTACATACGTCCCTATCATACAGCCTTGGCAGGATCCAAATCTTTACAGCTGTTCTGTATTGGCTGCTGGCCATTATCCCTAAAGGTCATCCTTACATCTCTGCCATGTGGGCTTTACCAGAGCTGTGTCCACCCTACAGCTAGATTTAGTTTCTCCGGCCCACAAGGGGCATACCTAGAGTCTGATGTCAAAGTAGAGTCTTTGACAGCATAAATGGCCACATTGTGGGGTGTCTGATTGAAAGAGAACATTCCATTACCTTGTTGTATTCTGTTGGTTTGAAGCAAATTGTAGGTCCTGTCCTTCACAGAAGGGAATCAGTAGAGGGTGTGGCTACCAGAGGGGAGGGACCAGGCCCACTGCACTCGCTCAGTCTTTCATAGGAATTGGTGATAAACTTTTGAGGGGGGAAAAAAAAGTAAAGATTTGGTCTGATTATTTGATATTATCTGTCCTGCAGAAAACACGAAAACTCAACAGCACAGAACACTTTCCAAACACACATTTAACAAGATGTCAAGAAAGCACAAGGACTTTAGCTCATTAACTGAGATCTAGAGGAGTTATATGCTCAACCATTAGGCTGAGTGTTAGAACGACCATCTTCATTTCCCCCCCGCCCCACACACACACCTTTTTATACTTGTATTATTTACTTTTCTGTTGCTGTGATAGAAACACTGACCAAAGCAACTTACAGAAGGAAGAGTTTATTTGAGCTCACAGTTCCAGGGGAATTACAGTCCATCTTGGTGGGGAGGCATGGTGGCAGAGGTGGCTAGAGGAGGAGTGGGAGCTAAGCTCTACATCTTCCAGGAGGCACAGGAAACAAGAGCGATACTGGAGATCCAGCAAGGCTTAAGAACTCTTTAAGCCCACCCCCAGTGACGTGCTTCCTCCAGCATAGCCACACCTTCTAAGACCTCCCAAAACAGCACCACCAACTGGTGACAAAAATGTCCAAATACTTGGAGCCTATGGGGGACATTCTCATTCAAACCATCACAATACTTTTAGGAAAAGAAGTAAACAAGAGAAACTCAGTTTGATCCCATAAAAATCTGGCAAATGTCTATAATTTGCTGTACCACCCTGAAAGCAGAGGATAAGTTACACTGTATATCAGAGTAGTCTTAGCTGGATCACAGTCATCCATAGCTGTGTGAGAAAGAGCTTATTGGTGGGTAGCATCCAGTCCCATAAGCCTGGCATTCTGAGCGCAGAACCGACCAACCTGCTTTTTAACAAGAACCAAGAGAAATCTCCTTCACACTGAAGTTCAGGGAGCTCAGATGGAGCAGTACCCAGAAAATCTTCAGATACATACAAACCGCCTAAGGCCATTTAGAAAGCAGGTCCTGACCCAGTAGGTCTGGAGCAGAACCTGAAGTTCCACATATCTGGTCCCCAGACGATGTCACTGCTGTTGGCCCCTGGATCATACTAAAATATGAAGAGTTGAGGACAGGAAAGAATGGAAGTAACAAAGAGCAAATGTCTCCCTCCACGTCAATACTGTGAATTCTGGGATTTCAAGTAGCAAGAGTTTAAAGCGAAAATCTCTAGAAACTTTCCAGAACCATATGGGGACTACTTAGTATGTGTGCCTCTATATCTTACGACTTTGAGAGGAAAGTGATGTTTAGGGGTAGAGATGGTGTGTGTGAGATGTCCAGAGTAAAATCGCAAACCCAGTAGGTACATGGCTAGAAAAATGAATATGCACTGAGAAGGTGAGAGGCTAGCAGGGCTTCTAGAAAGACCAGAACTTAGCCAAGCACTCCCTTAGCAGGACCCAAATGAATAGCACACAGGCACATGGTCAGAGGAAGGGATGAAAACCAGTAAGAAGACAGGAGTTTTGACAGTCATGGTTCAGAATTAACCAAGAGTCTGTGACCAAATGCACAAAAGAGATCAGAGAACTAATGAACTTCCTAGAAGCCTGAAAACTCTGGTCAAGCTGATCATGAAGGTGGCTACCAACTAAGACCCCCACAGGATCAGCTGATGTTCATTTCAATGGCAAAGGTTCCAGTTTGAGCTGGGGAAAAGGAACAGGGAGAACCCCCAGGGGGTCCAGGGAGCTGAGTGGCACTAACGTAACCTGGGCAGCAGCAACCTTTGGAAAGGCTGAGGCAGCGTGATTTGATGACAGTCCAGACCTGCCAGTCAAGAGACCCAGGTTTCCCTGGTTCATTCACTCACTCCTTACAATTTTGCAGAGTGTCTACCAAATTTTAAATCCTGTGCTAGGCCCCAGAGAACATAGACAGCAAAGGAAACAATAATGGTGAAACTAATGAAAGGAGAACAGCGCTAAAAGTCGTGTTCTGAGTGTGTGACTTACATTAAGCAGTCTGTATTTTCTTTTCACAGTCTGAGGGGGTAAGACTGAGGCAGGGTCTCATGTAGTTCAAGATGACCTCAAACTCACTATGTATCTGAAAATGACCTTGAACTTCTGGTCTTCCAGCCTCCACTTCCCAAGTACTAGAATTTCAGGCATGTGCTATATGCCACACTTGAATTTTGTGTAGTGCTAGGGATTGAAACCCGAGCTTCGTGTATATTAGGTGCTCTAGCTTGCTTTTCTATTGCTATAATAAACACTATGACTGAAAGCAACTTTGGGAGGAAAGGGTTATTTGGCTTTCAAATTACAGTCCCTCATCCAGGGACGTCAAGGCAGGAAATGGAGGCAGGAACAGAAGCACCGACCATGGAGAAATGCTGCTTACTGGCCTGTGTCTAGGCTCACTGCCTAGGGATGATACCACCCACAGCAGACAGGGCCTTCCTACACCAGCTAGCATTCAATAAAATGCCCCATAGACATGGTCACAGCCAGTCAGATGGGGGAAATTGATCATTTGAGGTTCATCTTCCTAGGTGTCTGAAGTTGATACCTATGATGCTAGGCCAGCACCCTGTGAACTAAGCTATATTCCCAACCTGAGAAGTGTTTTTAATGCCCACTTTTTGAACATGGAAACTGAGGTGAAGTTATATACAAACCCTTTCTGTTTGTAATAGAGCTTATATTCTAACAAGCTGCCCTCAGCCAACAAAAGGACTTTGGGTGACTTTGAATATGCTTTCTCTTTTGTAGCCATGGCAAATAACTAAATGCTGCGTTCGCTCTGAGTCAAACATCTTATCCTATTCAGTCCTCACAGAATCTTAGGGTGTGATAACTATTATTCCCATTTTACAGATATGGAAACTAAGGTTCAGACAGGCTAAACTATTTTCCCAAGATGTCATATCTAAGACTTAAACCTAGGCAGACTGATCTCAAACTGCATTTTAGGAGTTGTCCTGTGTCTGAGATCCCATTGCAGTGGAACAGTCCATGATATCCCTATGAATTATTTGAATCTCAGGTCATTTTGTTTTCAAAACTTCTATGTGCACCAGTAGACCATACGGGACAATTCAAAGAAAAGCCCACAAGCTAAGGACACGTCAGATAGGAGGCCATCTATATGCCCCCAGTGTGCTCAACGGCCTTGCAGAACACATTCTCACCCCCCCACCTGTGGGTGATAGAACAAGGCAGGCTATGCCTCACAGAAAACCAGGCATAGCCTAGAGTGAGGACATTCTGTGCAGCCTGGAGATGTCAGTGCAGGAGGAATAACGGACTCTTTGTGGGCATGGGGGTCTATCAAACACAGCCCTAGACACCTTCCTGATTGAGATGAACAGGAAGGGATTTAAATTGAGGTCCTGAACTGAGAGGAGGGCACATTCATCATGCTCATTGCTGGAGTCAGAAACAAATTCATTTTTCCTGTGAGGAGTGTTATCAAGCAAGAAATCAAGTCCACAGGTGCGGTGTCTGGGGGGAAAGACAGAGGTGCCGGTAGACACTGGAATTCGTGTATCTCCAGGTTGTATAAAACTCCCAACCAAAAGTCTCCATAAACTATGCACTGGCTGCTGACATCCATAATGGATGACCCAGATTTAGCAGATACTATAAGATTTGCAAGTTTCCACTTACCCAGAGTTGAAGTGACTCATTTGTTCATTCAGCAAATATTTAGTAAATGCCTTGAAATTCTAGGACTGAAGGATTTAGCAGTAAAGCAAGCAAAATTGACCTTGCTCTTATCAAGCTTATTTCTAGACACAGAAAGTAATCAGAGGGTCTGATAACTACAGCTGTGTGAGTAATTGCATGAGGCAGGATAGATGGTGATGAACATTGAGGGACATAGTAGGCTGAGCTGATGAAAGGTGGCTGAGTTGATGCTGGCTTAGAAACAGGCAGAGCGGCAGCTTAGATGAGAAAACACTCATCAGAGATCTAAAGCAGGAAAAGGAATCCATGTAGTGAGCAAGGGAAGACAGCCCTGGGACAGGAGAGGAGCGAGTTCAAGAGCCTCTGAAACAGGAGCAAGTGTGGCCTCTGAGAATCTGGCAGGAGGCTAGGACGGTGACGTGTCATGAGGGGGCTGGTGAGATGACATGTGTAGAAGAAGCCACAGCAGAGGTGAAGCACACAGGACTTGTGGCCACACAGAGGAGGAGGACTTCACTGTAACAGTGAATGGCATGTGTTAAGCAGGGGACTGATATGGCTCCCTTCATGAATATCTCTCTGCAAATCCAGTAGAGAACGAAGTGTATACTGTTCAGAACAGCAGTGGGGAGGCCAACAGAACAGCTACTGTGGGCACCCAAGTGGGAGATGGTAGAGACCTGGGTGAAAGTGGAACAGGGAAATGGGAAGAAGGGGATTTGGAGGCTGCTCTGGAGGTGGAGCCTCAGGACTTGCTGAAGGGTTATGTGCAGAATGGGTTAGGTGTAGGATGGGTTAGGTGCAGGATGGGTTAGATGCAGGATGGGTTAGGTGTAGGATGGGTTAGGTGCAGGATGGGTTAGGTGCAGGATGGGTTAGGTGTAGGATGGGTTAGGTATAGGATGGGTTAGGTATAGGATGGGTTAGGTGCAGGATGGGTTAGGTACAGGATGGGTTAGGTGCAGGATGGGTTAGGTGCAGGATGGGTTAGGTGCAGGATGGGTTAGGTGTAGGGATGAATACAAAGCCATTCCTGTGTCTTAGTGTCATAAGTTTTCTGCACTTGAGGCTATACTTTGTAAGCTGGCCCAGCTTTATACAATAGTGATGCCCCCGTGTGTGAAGTGCAGCAACCAACCTGTTTCTCCTTCTCCTGATGAGAGCCAGGATCAAAGGAGAATCCTGAGAGGGAGGAGAGAGCCAGGGTATGGTGATCCTTTCTCAAGATCAGGATAAACACATGAGTGCAAGTGTGCATGTGTGTCACTGTGTTGTGCATGTATGTGAATGCATGTTTTGGTGTGCTGTACATTGAATGTATGTGGATGCACATGTGTGTGTAATCCAGTGGTATTTTACATGTATGC